GGGGGGGGGGGGGAGAAAAGTGTGCTAAAAAGAAACCAGAAGTCTGGAGAGAACCCCAAGGGTGTGGCCAGACAACCCGTTTGCTAAGAGATTAGGCATGTGACATGGGGATCCAGGAAATCATCTCAGCAGGAACACTGCCAGCTTGAACCGGAGGGGACAGAGAGGGACTGAGATGCAGGAAGGCTGTCGGGACTTGTCAGCTGCTCCGGGCAGGAGACAGGCAGACGGGGCTCTCCAGCCACAGACACGTGTCCTTAAGGAAAGGGGGCCGTGTGGACACAGACACATACAGGGAGCCAGCCACAGATAAGACACAACAAAGCTGCAGCTATAAGACCCCAAGCAGAGCTCTCTGACCCGGAGACATACCATCCGAGCTTCTGGGCCATGACCTCCAGGCAGTGACCTCTGGAGTGTCCCACACTGTGAGGGACTTCTCCCACAGGAGATGTTCGTAGCTCTGAATTGGACCACCCTGCAGTTGGCGGATGGGGTTCTGGAGGCCAGAGTTCTGGGCTCCTGAGCGGCCCTGTACAGATGTATGTGTTGCTCACTGCCCAAGGGCTGAGCCCTCCACCGACCAAGTCATGCTCTGCCCTCCCAGAGGGGGTGCGTGCCTGTCTCCGAACTCACAAAAAGGCTTCCTGTAGGCTAGCAGAGATGCTGGCTTTAGAAACATTTGCACCAGCTGTTTCCCTAGTAAATTCCCCTTTGGTAAATTCTAACCTATTCTTGAAGGTCTCTCTACCTCCAGGAAACTGTCCCACAACACGCCTAGGCTGAGTCTGGGAGCTGCCCGCTGGTGTCCCCCAGAGCCCCTGGGCTATTGCCATTGCACCACGCACACGCCTCCCTCTCTTCTCATCATGATCCCATCTGAGGCTCCCCAAAGCCTGAGATGTGGCTTGATTCAGCTCAGCAATCACAGCGTCCAGCGAAACCCAGTACACATGAGCCCAGGGCCTACAACAGCCCCGGTGACTTGAATAATCTCAAACTTGAAGTTCGGAATTAATCAGCATACTCAGACCTGGATTCCTCACCTTCCCTCCACTATCTCCTGCATGGTAACTGCACTGCCCCAGAGGCCCAGGCCAAGGACCCAATCGTCACTCCCCGACTCCTCATACCCTACCTGTAATGTGCCAAGAAATCTTACTGGCTCCACCTTCCAGATCAGTTCCAAAAATCTCCTCTGAGCAATTCTACATCCCCTCTCCCTCCCCTGCCACTGCAAACAAACAAACAAACAAACAAACAAACAAAACCTAAAAACGGACACGTTTTCTTAAACTTGGTGCCGATATCCACCTGGTATTATGACGTACAGCATCGTCACCTGAGTCTCAGCACATCCTCTGTCATGCGGGCCCCTGCCATCCGTGGCTACTTTCTCGCTTTTTGTTATTTATGACTTTTGGTTTAAACTGATCTCCAAGATAAACGAAGGAGCCCAAGACGGCCCCGTGGATTACGGTGAAAAGAAGCAACAGAAATATTGGTAACAGGCACCTGGGTGGCTCAGTCGGTCGAGCGACCGACGATTTTGGCTCAGATCATGATCTCACAGTTAGTGAGATTGAGCCCCGTGTCAGACTCTGTCCTGGGTGTGGAGCCTGCTTGGGATTCTCTCTCTCTCTCTGTCCCTCCCCCGCTCGTGCTCCTGCTCTCTCTCTCTCTCTCAAAATAAATGGATAAACTTACAAAGAAAAGAAAAGTAAAGAAAAAAAGAAATATCTGTGACTTCTAAGAGCTCAGAAGAAAAATCCAAGCACAGATCTAGGGCTCCGAGAATGTTTCAAATGGCCCTGCAGGGGGCGCCCTGGCTGGTGAATTCAGTCCAAAGACCGGGCAACTCTGATCTCAAGACGGGAAGGGACGAACTTCACAGAGAGACAAGAAGAGGAGGAGATATTTGGTAATGAGATGGTTGTCCTGCCATACAGATGGGCCACTCAGATAAAACTTATCTCAGCCAATAACCCTTATTCTGGGAAAGAGCCCCCATTTCGATTTTTCTACGTAGTTAAGGGAGGCACCAATGTTTCTCTTGGGCCCCCAGGGTCTTGATTGCCTTTAGCTCAGAATAATCTTCATGCTAAAGTGGCCCATCTTGGGGAGGCCTGCCCTCAGCCCTTACACAGTTCATTGCTGACCTTCAACAGTGTGGATTTATTCAGTGACCAAGAGATCCCAACCGATTTGCTCAATTAAAATGAGACACCCCAGGGGCGCCTGGGAGGCTCAGTCGGTTAAGTGGCCAACTTCGGCTCAGGTCATGATCTTGTGGTTTGTAGGTTCAAGCCCCGCGTCGGGCTCGGTGCTGACAGCTCAGAGCCTGGAGCCTGCTTTGGATTTTGTGTCTCCCTCTCTCTCTGCTCCTCCCCCACTCATACTCTGTCTCTCTCTCTCAAAAATAGATAAACGTTTGGGGCCCCTAGGCGGCTTAGTCGGTTAAGCGACACACTTTGGCTCAGGTCATGATCTCGCGGTTTGTGAGTTCGAGCCCCATGTCGGGCTCTGCGCTGACGGCTCAGAGCCTGGAGCCTGCTTCGGAGTCTGTGTCTCCCTCTCTCTCTGCCCCTCCCCCGCTCATGCTCTGTCTCTCTCTCCCTCTCTGTCAAAAATAAATAAAACATTTAAAAAATTAAAAAAAAAAGTGCCTGGTATTTATAATCAATTTTTAAAAATTTTTTCAATGTTCATTCATTTTTGAGAGAGAGAGAGAGAGACAGAACGGGAGCCCGGGAGGGGCAGAGAGAGAGGGAGACACAGAATGTGAAGCAGGCTCCAGGCTCCGAGCTGTCGGCACAGAGCCCGACGCGGGGCTCGAACCCACGGACTGTGAGATCATGACCTGAGCTGAAGCCGGATGCTCAACCGACTGAGCCACCCAGGGGCCCCTATAATCAATTTTTATTCCACGGAACTCAATCGATCATTTGGTTGTTTGTTGCTATATTTTTAAAAACTTGACATTTAAATTCAGACGTTATTTATAAACCAAATCCCGTTTAAGTATGAACATTCATACATTTTGCTAGAGAAATGTAACGTGTTTGATTAAGGGTGGCGCTGTGGGGGGAGATTATAGGATACACAGCATAGGCATCATATTACCAGCCTGGAGTCTGCAAATGTTTGCATTTTGAATTACATCTGGTCCCGAGAGTTTTGGATAAAGTTTGCAGACCGGTTGAACAAGAATCTGCCTCCCTCTCAACATCTCCACTCCTTCTAACCTAGTGGAAATGACCGTTATCTCCTGCCTGGACTGTCCTCACTGGGTCCCGGCCTCAGCGTTCGCCCTGCGGCTTGTTCCCCGCACGGCCGTCAGAGGGCGCCGGTTCCCGCTTCGGGCAGCTCAGAACGCTCCAGGGCTCCGGGCTCACCTAGGGCCACAGGACCACGCATGCGCGATCCACGCCCTTGGCCCATGTCTCCTGCCCTCTCCCCCTCTCCCCCTCGCTGGCTTACTCGGTTCCAGACACACTGACTTTCTACCTGCTTCCGCAACACCGCAGGCCCAGTCCTGCCCCAGAGCCTCTGCAAAGGCTGTTCCCCTTGCCTGTAACGCTTTTCCACCAGATATCCCCAAGGCTCGCTCCCTCACCTCCTTCAGGTAGCTGCACAAGCGTCACCTTTGCATGAGGCTTACCCTAGACCAAGCCATTTACAAGTGCACCCCTTCTTCCGGCATTCCAGACCTTCTGCTTTTACCTCTTCAGCACTTATAACGTATAAAATAATGTACAGTAAATTATAATCTGCCTCTTCCCACTAGAATGTCAGACTCCTGAGGGAAGGATTTTTTTTTTCCTCATTCTGTTCACGTTTGTGCCCTCAGCGCCTGAACAGCTCTGTGCAATAGAACTTTCTGTGATGGTGGCAATGTTTTGTATCTGCCCTGTCCAACAGGGTAGCCTCTGGCCAAGTGTGGCTCCTAAGAATTTGAAATGCAGTGAGTGCAAGTGAATTTTTTCATTTTACTTCATTTTAGTGCATTTTTTTTTTTAAGATTTTATGTTTAAGTAATCTCTACACCCACCATGGGGCTCGACCTCACAACCCCGAGATCAAGAGTCACACGCTCCACTGCCTAAGCCAGCTGAGCCAGCCCCTCGTTTTAATTCATTGATTTCTTTTTTTTTTGTTTGTTTTATTTTTGAGACAGAGAGTGACAGAGCATGAATGGGGGAGGGGCAGACAGAGAGGGAGACACAGAACCGGAAGCAGGCTCCAGACTCTGAGCCATCAGCCCAGAGCCCGACGCGGGGCTCGAACTCACGGTCTGTGAGATCGTGACCTGAGCTGAAGTCGGACGCTTAACCGACTGAGCCACCCAGGCGCCCCAATTCATTGATTTCTTTTAAGTGTTTACTTATTTATTTTTGAGAGACAGAGGAGGAGGAGGGGCAGAGAGAGAAGGAGAGAGAATCCCAAGCAGGCTCCGTGCGGTCAATGCAAAGCCTGATGCAGGGCTGGAACTCACGCACCGTGAGATCATGACCTGGGCCGAAATCAAGAGTCGGATGCTTAACAGAGTTCAGCCACCCAGGTGTCCCAAATTATAATTCATTTAGGCTTAAATAATCACATGTGGCGACTGGCTACCTTATTGGACAGCCAAAGGGATATTTAATAAATATTTGTTGAATGAATGAATGAGATGCTACATCTAGGCACTATTTTCAACCTAATGGGCATTCACTTAGTTTGAATACTTACATCAGCTCTAGGCGGTAGGTACTCCTGTTAGCTCCGTTTTGCAGATGAGAACATAGAGGCAGAGAGGTTTAATAACTGACTCAAAGTCACACAGCTTAGAAGCAGCAGAGACAGAATTCAATCCCAACACTCAACCAGTCTCTCTCTCTGCTCTGGGGTGTGGCCCTAGAACTCCTTTCTCGCAGCTGTCTCCCCAGAGTGGGGGGTGGTCAGATTAAAGGGTTACAAGATGGACCCGAGGAGGCTGGATGGGCTGCCTACCTTGGTTCCTGGCGGCGGGGAAACAGGACGACGACTCTCAGGGCTGGAGGCCCGGGAGACCCTCGGAGATCCAAGACCTGGGAGGACAGAACGGGACTTGGTGAGGACAGGAAATGCCAAGCAAGTCCCACCCGGGCCAGGACACTCACCTGAGCGAGGGCTGGGGAGGTCTCTGTCACCCCCAGGCGGCCGCCCCCAGTCAGCCTCAGGGGACCTGGATGAGCTCAGCTCCAAGGACTCAGGCAGGCTCTGGCACGGTCGGGAAAGGAGAATAATGCTTATCATTGTCATTTTTCAGGCACTCGGCCATCAAGACACAGCATGAGTAGGAGTTAAGACTGAAAACCAGGAGCCAGACGTCCTAGTTTCACATCTCAGCTCAGCCACCTAGGGGCTGTGCAACCTTCTTCAAGTTACTTTCCCTCTCTGGGCCATATTTCACCTTTGAATCCATGTCTGAAGATTGAATCCATGCATGTAAGGCACTTAGAACAGTGCCTGGCACATAGCAAGGCATTTTAAGTGCAAGATTTTATACTGATTATGCATCTGGCGCCATGATAAGCACTTTATTTGCATTATCTCATTGAATCCCCTCCTGCAAGGTGGCAATTATTATCCCTATTCAACATAAGGGGAGGGGTGCTTGGGTGGCTCAGTAGGTTAAGGGTCTGACTTGGGCTCAGGTCATGATCTCACGGTTCATGAGTTCGAGCCCCATGTAGGGCTCTCTGCTGATCAGCACAGTATCCTAGATACTTCTAGAGCCTAGGATACTTGCCTGGGGTTGGTTAGCTGAGAGAAAGAAAGGGAGAGAGAAACAGGG